CTTTTTTTCACTTTCGTAAAAAACCAGATCAATCGATTGATAATTTTCATTTTAAAATACAACATTTATGGGACATGCTTGAAAATTTTGAATCGAAATTCAAATATGAAAGTGATGCTAGTAATTTTACTAATCAAAATCAAATTCATCTTATCCAATTTTTAATTGCACTTTAAGATGAATTTGAGAATGCCAAGTCTTCACTTTTGTGCCGATATCCCTTACCAACTATGGATAATGCTCTTATGGAATTGATATCTATGGAAACTCAGTTGGGTATGAGTTGGCTCATAATGTTGATACTATTATTGTTGTTACTCCTCAGAAAAGTACCAGTTCTATTTTCCACAAATCTTGTTTATTATGTAGGAGGATCAATCATCCCGTTTAGAAATGTGGAGTTAAATATCATTATAATAGTAGTCTATTTAATGATCCTCGCATTAATAAGATTGCTACGACAATAATCATTGAACTAAACATTTATGAGTCTTTTTCTGAGACCACTACAATCTCTACCATTGATTTTCAAACTTTATTCAATCAAGTATTATCTCAATCTCATGTTCCTACCATATTTGCTGCCTCATTAGGTAATGTTTGGTTGTTTGCTAATGCCTGTGGAAATCATATGACTACTGACCCTTATTTGTTCAAAAGTAAGATACTTGTACCTAATGGTCCAATCACTGAAACAACAAATGGATCTGTATTAAAACCTAGCCACATTGGTGATATCAAAACCTCAAAATTATGTATATTTGACATTTACCCTATTCCTAATCTTGCCTTAAATTTGCTTTTTGTTGGTTAACTTTGTGACCTTGGTCTTACTTTGCATAATTCACAATGATATAGTTGTATTAGGCAAGATCTTCAAACAAGTTAGAAAGTTGGGATAGGACGTAAGGTTGGAATACTGTTTGAGCTTAAAACTTTAAAAATTTCATAACATTTGCTTACTATTGCTACATCTCAAACAACTAATTTTTTAATTTCTTTATATTTATGGCATTTTAGGCTAGGACATGTACTTATTTCTTGAATAAAGTCACTTACTTTCATTGGTTTCTTAGGTAATGTTTCTCATAATATATTTGATTGTTTGTCTTGTCAACTTGGAAAGCAAAGTGTTTTAGCTTTTAATAAAAATAATTCTATCTTATATGTTCCTTTTGATTTAGTCATTTTTTATATTTGGGGTCCAACTCCCACATTAATATTAGGAGTTTTACGTTACTTTGTTATATTTATTGATGATTTTTCTCATTATATTTAGATATATTTATTCAAACAAAGAATTAAACTATTATCTATTTTTGGTGAATTCAATAACATAATACAAACTCAATTTTTTAGAAAAATAAAAATCTTCAGGTCTGATAATGCTGTTGAATATGTAGAAATTAAGTTTTGTAACTTGTTAAAGGATGATGGGACTCTTCCTCATAGGTCTTGCTCATATACTTCACAATAAAATGGTCGAGCTAAGAGAAAACATCATCATATTCTTGACATAGTTCATGCCCTTCTCATTTCTTCTTCCCTTCATAAATATTTTTAGGGTAAAACTGCTCTTATTGCTGTTTACACTATTAATCGTGTTCCCACACTAATATTAGGCACACAGTCTCCATGTGATTACCATTCTTTCAAACTTTTTATATGTGTTTTTTTTTTTTTGTTTACTTCCTATTCATAAAAGGACTAAACTTGAACCTAGAGTTAGATTGTGTTGTTTTTTGGGTTATGGTATAGAACACAAGAGATATAGGTGTTATAATCTAATGTCTAAACATTTTTGTATTTCAGGACATGTAGTCTTTAAGGAACATAAAAAGTTCACTAGTGTGTCCTCATTACATTCACCATGTTCTTTTTTATGTATTTTTACAAATTCATTTGTTGATTTTTCTTCAAATGAAGAGACTATTTTAAATACTTTTGACTCAAATAGTGATCTATCATTTTTCACTCTTACTATATCTGATCTAATTGAGGCTTCTATTGATATAATTGTCCTTTCACCATACATATCGCCTCCATTTCATCATTTCACCTGGGTAAATGAACCTCATACTCAACTTTGTGATTTTCACTATTATTACGTTTTAGCCACATTACATGAACTTTCAATTTTTGTAAAGCTATCTTTAATCCTATGTGGCAATAAGAAATGGTAAAAGAGCTTCGGG